CTACTATAATGTTCTTTCATTCCTATTTATTTGAATGTTCTTACTCTTTCTCTGTTAAATTTGTGAAATCTTGAGGTATTTTTTCACTTTTAATGTTCTCTTTCTTTCTCTCAGTTCTCCTGTGCATCTTCTATGGCATATGTTTTGGTATTCTTCTTCATATGTCATAGAAACCTTAGTTTTTGCTCATTTTCTTTATTCTTTCTGCACCTAAGACTGAATGTTACAGTTCAGATCATGAATATCTCTCAAAGACCATGTGTTGAAAGCTTGGTTCAGCCCATGGCACGACTGGGATGTGATGGAGCCCTAGGAGGTGGGACATAGTGTAAGAAAGATAGGTTACTAGAAGCATGTATAAAGGGGATATTGCAATACCAGCCCCTCCACTCCTTTCTCTACTTCCTGGCCACTGTGAAGTGAACACCTTTCTTCACCATGAGCTCCCACAGGCCCCAAAACAGCAGGACCAGCCATATACTGTATCCTCGGAATCTCTTAGCCAACCTTTCCTCTTTTTAAAGTGATGGTCTCAGGTCTTTTTCTACAGTAACATAAAGTTAATTAACACAGTGGATAATTGCAATTTCTCCCTTCAAGTTCATGGACTATTTCTTTAATATACTAAAATCTTATATTGAAATCCCTAGTAAATTTTGTATTTTGGTACTGTATCTTTAGAGTTCAGAGTTTTACCTCATTTCTTTGCGTAATTTCTATCTCCATTAATACATATCTTTTGTGTATACATCATTAATGTAGTTTCATTTTTTGTCCATGGTTTCCTTTAGATCTTTGAGCATATTTATGACAGTTGGTTTAAGTCTTTTTCTCTAAGTCAAATGTCTGCATCTTTTTAGAGATGATTTTTGTATTAGCTTTCCACCTCTATAACAGGTAACTCACAAGGAGGAAAAGAGTTATTCTGGGTTATAGTCCTGGAGGTTTCAGCCCATGATCAGTTGGCCCTCTTGCTTTGGACAAGCAGGACAGTGAGACTGGAACATCCGGAAAAGCAAAACTGCTCACTTCATGGCCAGGAAGTAAGAGAGAAAGCAGAAGAGAGCAGGCTCCCCAGCTCTTTCAGTGACATACTCTGAATAACTTCACCTCTTAAATTTTGCACCTCTCCCCATTAATACCAAGCTAGGGACCCCACATGTAAATATGCAAGCCCTTGAGAGGAACTTCTGATTGAAATGATAGCAACTATTTTCCTATGAGTGAGTTGTATTTTACTGTTTCTTATTTGCTTTTCAGTTTTCTTGGTTGAATACTGAGAATGTGGAATTTTATAATGTGGCAATTCTGAAAATCAGATTTTTTTTCTGTCTCCAAGTTTTGCTTCTATTGCTTCTTGAGAATTACAGTCATCCACTTGTTTAGTGACTTTTACAAGCTGTTTTTGCAATGATTTGATGTGTGTGGTTTCTGAATCTCTATTCTGTTATCTCTGTAGTCAGTGACTTTTCTTAATTCCAAAGCCTCCTCCCCGTTATCCCAGCAAACAAAGGATGAAAGAAAAAAAAATAAGAATAAAAATTACTCTTTCAAATGCTGCATGCATCCTGATTCTGATCTGCAGTACTCCTTCAATGCTAAGATATGTCATTTACCATGTGTAGCTTCAGAAATCTATGTGCACCTAGCTTTTATCATGCTAATGTTTGGCAGATTTCTTCCGTAACCCAGGAACAAAAATAAATCAAAACAAAAGGAGAAATAAAAATCACAAACCTCCCCTAGAATGTATATACTGATTCCAGGCTTTGGCACTCTTGCTTTACCTAACCTAGCAATTTACAAGTCTGCCTCAGCCTTTATTTCCTGCTTTCACTGAGCCTAGAGATCAGCCACAGGTAAAAGCTTAGGATCTTCTCAGGTTTGTTCTTTCTTTCTTTCATTTTCTTTTTCTCTCTTTCTTTACTGAGACAGGGTCTTGGTTTGTAGTGCAGACTGGTTTTGAACTCATTATGCAGCCCAGGCTGCCTTCGAACTCACAGCAATGTTCCTGCCTCAGCCTCCTAACTGCTAGGATTACAAGCATGCACCATCACACTACACTTCTCAGGTCTTTTCTGAACATGCATCTTGCCTTAAACATGGTTTTTGAAACCTCACAGTATACATAGGGGCTTTTAAATGTTTTAATTTCCAAAAGAAACTCTCTCCAGAGTATGTCTTCCCAAACTTTTTATGCTATGTGGAATGTTTCAACAATAATCCTTTGACCAAAGTGATTGTGGATTATTCATTAGTCCTACAATATTAGTGAGAAATGCTTGCTGCTTTTCTGTTTTGACTTCCAAGTTAGGCAAAAGAAAGACTACCATTTTTCATTGGTCCTCAGGCTGCCCAAGACAGACTACAATAGACACATACAATTCTTTTGAGAAGGTCTGCTCTGTTCCTTCCCAACTCAGGGATCAGTGTCCCATATGGAAAATAGGATGCTGTGTTTAAGACTGCTACAGAGCCTGGTCAGGGGTTGTTCAAGGGCAAGTAAAAAAGCCCTGAAACCATCCTCTTTTAAAGTTGAATTTTTTTTTTTTTTTGATTCAGCATTTGTTTGGTTACAAGAAATCTTTCACCATTTTCCAGCGTTCTAGCAAAAGCAATACTGAGAGTTTCTGCTTAATTTTTCAGCATTGCTGTGGAGGGACAGGGTACTGGAGCTGCCTATGTGACTATTTTTTTACCAATACGACTTAAAGTATTTTTACTGGGTTCACTCCATTGCTCTAGGGTAGAATATACTAAAATAATATTCATACCTCTTCACATGCTCAACCCCTTCTGAGCTGTAATTGACTATTTGGTATTACATCAGCTTTTCATCATGAATAACCATAAATCTGGGTTATATATAAAAAGGAAATAGTTAAATCTGAAATCATCCAAAGGAGCTTGGAGTAAAGCCTCAGAACTTTATCTCAGATAACTGTAGAAATTTTGGTCAGCAGAAGACTTGCTCTAAAACTTAATAAAGAACAAAGTAATGGCAAATGTAGCCATAGAAATGTAAGAAGCAATGGAAATAGTACATTAGAAATACATTAGTTAAAATAAATATTGTCTACAAATAATAAAATAGTGTTTTCCTGTGCTTAACAAAAATAAAATCCCTGAAAACACCTGTACAAAACTCAAGAGTTAAATTCATGAAATTGAAGTGTTTTAAATTCTTTATGCTATCACGGAATTAGAAAAGGTATTGATTTCTAGTAGATGCTAGTAAATCAAAGATAAATTTTGTATGAAAAGGTAAGCCACAGCATAAAAATTTCTACAATCTGTATATCTGACAAAGGACTCATAGTGAGGATTTAGACAAGAGCTTAGAAATCAGTAAGAAAAAGACAGGCAATCTAATAAAAGAATGGGTGAAACACTTGAACAAGCATTTCACAAGAGGAAACCCAATAGCATAAAGACATGTAAATTGATTTTGTCATCCAGAAATGCAAATTATATCCACAATGTGATACTCCTACATATTTACCAGAATATGTAATATTAAAAAAGAAGGTTGAAGGAAGAAAAGAAAAACATAAAATACAACTGAAAAATCAAATGTTGAAAAATGAGGATCAAATAAACTTTCTTTACCTCCTAGTAGCCATGTAAGATCGCTTTCAGTGAAATCTAGTAGGATTTAATATGTGCCCAGCCTATGATCCACTTCATTCACTTGTTGGTATCTTCACCTTAGAGAATACTTAAGACATAAGCGAAAAAAACACCTACACATATGCTTAAGGTAGCACTAGGGTATTTTTATTATAATAATAATAATTGAAACAAACTACATGTCAGAGGGTAAGGAAGTGGTAAATTAATGTGTGTGTGTGTGTGTGTGTGTGTGTGTGTATTTGTTGAGAACTACCACAGGGCATTTTAAAAGCATGACGCAGATTTACTTCTCATATATACAGAAAGAGCTCAACACTCAGTGTAAAACAACTTCTACACATACCATGTACAGGACCTAGGAGCCGTTATCTAAGGCCTGGTTTTGTAATTAGTGCCTGAAAAGGTCACTGGCAATGTTTTTCTTTCTTTTTCTTTTCTTTGCATGGATATAATAGCACTTAGACTGACTCTGGAAGAATATCCAAATAACGTCACTCATTGCCTCTAACAGGCTGAGAAATTAGCATGTGGAAACTTTTCACTGGATATTTCTCTGTTACTTTAACACATTCTCTGGGGGCCTGAAGCAGTATCACAAGTTTGAGCACAACCTGGGCAACTTAATAATTTAGCCAGACCCTGCCTCGGAATAAAAAAAACGCTGGGAGTGTAGCTCGGTGAGAAAGCCCTGGGTTCAACCGCCAGTACAAACAACAAAACAAAACGATATAACTGCAGTATCTGGTGAGGAAAAATAAACACTTTATACAGAACAATAAATGATATCAAATGTCGCGGGAAAAACGAGACAATAGTACAGATAGATATACTAATAAAGATGTTAGTTATGCAGTAGGAGCACAGAGAAACGGTCTCCTAAATAGGCCTGTGGCAGCTGAGAATCCACAAGTGCAGGGGACACTTAAAAGATCTGGGCAGAAAAACGCAAGGCCGTGTGTTTTCATTACCGGAGAGCTCAGTGGGAGGTGTGCAGACGCCCTGACATCCGTCCCAACGACTATTTTCCACGAGCTGGAGCCTAAAACCCTAGTGACTGCAAGACAGCAGTAGAAGCAGAATGACCCAGGAGGAAGCGGAAGCTACTTGAAACGGTGTAACGCTGCATAAAAGCTCAAGCAACTTATGGTCCCTCAAACCAGCGCCAGACTCCCACAATTCCCATTCTTTCCTGTAGTTTTCAGCCCGCCTTCTCCTGCCTCTCCACAATCGCTTACTGGTCAATAGACGATTGACAAATCCTGTCACCAATCGGCTGTCTCCTCTAGAGCCCGCCCCGCCTCAGCCGGGTCTTTGATGCCAGGGTGAGAAGCCGCCGCCGTGCGCCGACGTCAGCGTGCTGACGTCACGGGCGGGTCCTCGCGGTGGCCGGGCCGCAGGCTGCGGGCGGCTGGCGGCTGGCGGCTGGCGGCTGGCGGCGAGCTGCGAGTCGCCTGGAGGGCCGGATCCTGGTCTGGGTCCGCCCCGTCGCGCTCCGCCCCTCCGCCCACAGTGCCCGGGCGGGCGCGACCGTGGAGCCACAATCTCCGGGCTAGGCTGGGGCGGCCGGCCCGGAGCCACCCGTTGAGGTACGGTGTGTTTCTGGTCGCCCTTTTTGACAGGTGGGAAAACTGAGTCCCGGGATGAGGTCACCTTAGGGAGGCCGCAGCGCAGCGGCGCGTTTTGCTATGCGGATTCCGGGAGCCGGAGCAGTGGGAGGGCGAGGCCGGGATGCAGAAGAGAAGCCGGAGACTACTAAACCCGGTGCCTCTGTGGCCGGGGGTTCGGGGATGGATGCAGGAAGTGGGGTCCCAGTCCTCTTTCCTGTGGGCCCGGCGGAGGCCAAGGGCTTTAGGGAATGATCGGGAATGATGACTAGGGCTGAAGCCTGTGTTATCCCGGCACAGTCATCGAGAAAAGCGTTGTTCACAACCAAAGAATATAAAAATCAAAACATGACTCATGAATGCCCTGCCAGTGGTTTCAATTCACTTGCATTGCACACTCAGCGTGCCATGTTTTTTTTAAAGCCTGCTTACTTTTGGAGTTAAAAAGGTTTTTAAGTTTTTATTCTCTTTTAGTTCAAGCATTGATTGAAAGCGTGGAACTTAGAATTGTTTTAAAATTGGAATTGTTCACGGTCATTTGTTTTGTTTCATGGACGAATCATTGAATTCGTTATTTGACTCAGTGATAGTTTGGGTACCTTTAAGAAGGTAACAAAGTCAGCTCTAGTCTAAGTACACTGCAATTAGTCCAGTGGAAGGGTTCTGAGAAGTAGTTCTCTTTATTCTTTCTACCCGTCACCCTCTTTCTAGACGCAAGATTTAATGAAAGAAAACAACTTGTGGTATCCTTGCTTTATTTGTGGAGTCTATAATAAGATAGTGGGTGATTTGTGCTTTTGAAGTGAAAATGTCTTCTGTACCATATGCGGAATGATCTGTACACATGTATAATGTTTTGTCAAGAAGCACTCACTTTTGTCAAACGTGGACCTTTTAAGATCGCATTGTTGTATTGTAGAAAACTGCATTAAAGGAATGGTTAAAACAACTTCTGAGGACTTTGCATTACGTTCTTAGAAGGATGCTGGTTATTATCATTTGAATTTATTCACTGGACAATTTGTCTGCTGAATCTCTATGCCATCCTAATTGATTTAGGTGTTGGAGATTGAGTAATGAACAGCTTAGGTAAGTTCCTTGCCTTGAAACATCTTACATTTTGGTGGAGATACAGCGGCCATGGAAACTAAAAAGTAATTTTAGGTAGTCGTAAATACTAGAAAAGATATTGCAGGAGTCAGGAGCTTGTGTGTCCTCAGGGAAGACCTTCCAGAGGAGGTGATGCTTTGGATGAAATTGAGTGTTTGGAGTGAGTCAGCTATGGGGAGGGAGATCTGTTGGAAGATTCTAGTAACATCGCACAGGAGATAAAGGAAGAATTAGCTTGACATGTTTCAGGGATGAAGGGAAGTCATTCTGACAGGAGCAGAGTAAGCCTAGGGGAGAGTGAGGTTGGAGGGACTGACACCGGAGAGGTGGGCAGGCGCTGCATCATCTCTATCCCTTGTGGGAATTGCCAACAGGTTGAAAAAGATGATTTATGTTTTAAAGCCCGCATTTTCATTTAAAAACACTCAAACTCTAACCAGCTTTCTGCTGTATTTGGGTTATGAAATCATTGCAGTAATTCATCATATGTATATATATGTATGTTTTTATAAATATGTATTTGTGTATGTGTACATTTGTTTTCCTCCTCCAGTGGTCCTCTTAATGAAAAACTGTCTTTCCTCCAGCACTGAATCCCATCCCCTGATTTTGCATTTCATTGTTATTTGTGCAGGACTCAAAGTCTGTGCTTGTCTTCAACTCTTCTCCAATATTATCTTTACCTACTTCATTTGGAAAACCTTAGCAGGCAGTCCCTGCTCTATTCAACCCAAGTTCTATGAAGCTGCATGGTTAGGTAGATTGTCCTTTTCCATTAGTGCTGGTATTGCTGACCAGGGTCACTTGTCTGCCTTTGTTTAGAATGCCTGCAGTCTTTCAAGCATGTTGTGTACACTGTTATCCTTCCAGCATCTTGCAGAGGTAAATGTTAAACCTTTTCAACAGTGGAAGAAACTTGTACTTAGGACCACTGAGCTAGTACTAATGGAGCTCATTAGCCTTCCTCCAAAGTCCACTTCATTCTGCTCCACTTCCTTCTTCCTTGTTAGTACTTAACATTTGTTTCGTGATGTGGCATTTTAGAGATCATTTGATTTGACCCTCTCAGTTTAGAGATGGGACAGTGGAGGCCCAGAGAAGTTTAATGATTTTCAAAATATATCAAAGCAGTGACCAAACTGGTGCCAAATTCTTTACCCTGCTGATTTTCAGCTGTGTATGTGTTTTTCCTCTATTTCCCTCTTGAAAGTCGGATAACACAGATTATCTTAATAGAGAAAAATATATTTCAGTAGCTAGAATGTACTATGTATAAACTCATGAAAGATAATTTTAAAGAGATAGGCAGTGCTTCTTCTTGGGCTAAAATGTTTTATTTTCCTACACTTTTCTGAACAGTGAGTTGGTATAAATTCTCTGGATGAATCCTTAGTTTTTGTTAGAGGGTGTGGTTTAAAACTGACTTTTGAATATTTTTAATTTCAAAAATGTTTAGAATGGACTTAATTTTTTTTTCCCCTCAGCTTTGACCTTGTGCTTAGAAGTATAGGAATATTGCCTACAGTTTGCTAGCTCAAAGTTTCTGGCAAGTGGAGTTTCCTTCTAAAATAGAGGAAGTCCTTATGTCAGCCCAGTGATATAATTTCTGCTTCTTAGCAGTATGTTACATTTAAAAAATAAATAGCAATCAGGTGATAAATTCTGTGGTTGAGAAATAGTTTACATTGTCCTAAATTTTAAAAGTAGCCATGATTTCTAAGTTTTATTTATTTTAGTCATTATGATTGGAATATATTAGATGAATAACAACAGACTAGTAAGTAGATTAATTTACTTTCTGGATGACTTTTTGACCAGCTATCTTGATGGATATTGCCTTTTCATTAGTCAAATCAGAATAATACGAATGGAATTAGCACCTTCTTTCTTAAATGTTGAAAGATATTTAAACTTAGACAAAGGAGACAGCTTTTGCTAAAGAAGCCAAAATAGCAAAACTGGATATTGTTCTGAGTAGCTCTGACCGAGTAGCTCTGTCTGTTAAGATTGTTTATGTTGATGTTCATATTCTAAAACTCCAGTTTTAGATGATTTGACCTCACATTATGGTGCTTTCCTGCCCTGAACCCAATGCACCATACTGGACTCCTGACATGTTCTTTGAGCTTTCTCCCTTCTGAGCCATAACTTGTGTTCTGCCTGGAATGCTAATTGGATAGACTCCAGCTGGTCATACTTCTATCTCTGTAGATCCACTCAAATGCTGGAGCTTCTCAGTAAAACATTTCCTGGGTCTCTCTGATGGAAGCTTTCTCTTTTCATAGCACTTTTTGGAGTCTTTCTCTGCAAAACAGTTTAACGGTCTTGGGATCTTTGACAATGGACTACTGTATGCTTGAGTTTTCCAATCTGTATTTACTTGAGCTTAAAAGACTTAACAATGTGTGCTACACATAGCAGTTTTTTGTTTTGTTTTGTTTTTGTTTTTTGTTTTTCAGATTGTAGAGCCCCCTCTTTTATTACGTATTTATTACTTCATCCTTGAGAGAGACACTATTAGGCTTTTCTTGGCGCTGATTCAACAGACCCTCTTTCCTGGAACATAAATTTTTATACTGTAAATGCTGAGGACACTGTGTTAATCAGCTTTACATTCTTGTGACCAAGTTCCTGAAAAAAAATAATGTAAAAGAATACAGATTTAGTTTAGCTCACGGTTTCAGGGATTTCAGTCTACGACTGGTTGCTATCGTTGTTTTGGGGCCCTTGGCAAGGTAGAAACATAGCTGAGGGGCATGGTGGAACAAAGATGACCACAGAGAGAGTAGGAAAGTCAAGAATGACCTAAGGACAAGATACACCTTTTAGAGTCAAACCCACATTAACCAACTTCCTCCAGCTGGACCCTACTCTCTTAATAGCCCATTAAGCTATGACTCATCAATAGACTAAGCCATTAGCACTCTCATGATCCAATCTCCTCTCTGCGTGCGACCTCTGAACATTGTCTTACTGGGAGTCTTTCTCTGCAAAACAGTTTAACAGTCTTGGGATCTTTGACAATGGACTACATATGCCTTCAGTACATTAAGTCTTTGGGGGACATTTCATATTTAAGCCCTAATAGGTGTACTGCCGCAAATAAAGTCAGTGCAATCTGTACTTATGGTACTGGACAATAGCAATAGCAGCAACAATTTTCAGTTTTTAATGTGATAGTTGAGAACACTGAGGTCCAGAGAGATGAGCCCAGGGGCCCTTGATTCTTTTATTTAATGTAGTAGTTGAGAACACTGAGGTCCAGAGAGATGAGCTCAGGGGCGCTTAATCCTTGTAATGCTGGGCGAAGAGGCCTGGCAAGTACTCCCCACTCTCAGCAGCAAAGGCTTGTGGTTCTAATAACCTGTATTAGAACCTTAGGCAGCCTCTCAAATGATGTATGAGCACAGCTTGGGGCCTTTTCATTGTTTTGCTTGCTTTGTTTGTGAGTTGACCTGGATCCAGATGGTACAGTATTTCTTACTGTGAATCAAGATCAAAGCTGAACTCTCACCAAGAATTTCTGACACTGAACTGTTTGAACCTGGGAGATCTTCCTGGACAGGGGTTAGGATAATATTGGGTTCAGTATTGTTTAATTTAAAACTTGCCTTCTAGTCACAATCTTCCAAAAATACATCTTAGGAGTAGTGAGCATTGTTATTGTTTTAAATCTGGAATTTGGAGAAATTTACCCTATTTTTTTTCCTTCCATGATAGGGATGGAATCCTTGAACCTAGGATATTGTGCATACTAGGCGAATGCTCCACCTCTGAGCTATACTCACAGCCCCTGGTCTTGTACTATCTAAGTTGCAGTATTCACAGTTTCCGTGTCCTATAGTTTCCAGGACACTATACTTTTCAATTGT